GCGAAACTCGAGTCCACTGGTTCCCTTCGGTGTGGACTCACCGAAATAATTACGCCAGAACAGGAACACGACCGTTCAAACGAGAGTGGTGTGGCTATGAACAATTTTCAGTTGATCTGTGCTTCACTTAGGACAGCAAACTGATTGTTCGCCATCATCATCCACATGGTTTACACAGTCGTGGGATGGTCCCAGATCAATGTTTTACCCGTAAACTTTTGGCATGAGACCCAATGTACCGTATCTTCGAAATACGTTATTCCAAATGGAAAATGTAACATTTTTTCACAAAAATTGTGTACATTTTCACAAAATCAACTCATCTACACGGTGCGTTGGTTTTATTGTGAGACCCAACTTTATTCCAGCAAAATGGATGTGCATCTTCCGGTTACGCCGTGAGTGGACGTCGCAATGCAGAGTTCGCGAAAGTGTTAGCTGTATTTTACTCAATTATCCCTGTATGCACCTCGGACACTGTCTGTGCGCTATCGGTGATAACGACACTCCATAAGGATGGGAAAGACACTCTGCTTAGGCATGCGTCCGGCAATGGTTTTTTATCGCTTTCGAATTTACATGATAGAGTCTAGAGCTATCCCTTGTTCCATGTAACCAAATCCTTCCACCCTCCTCAGTTATCGGTGAACAATACAAATGCTTCACAGATGACTTTTTTTATTGTCTCGGCACTGTCGTGGGTGGATAACGGCAGGCGCCCTAAGGTAGCTTCGGTGGATGAAAGCATTTGGAACCAACATAGGTCCAGTTCAAGTTCTTTAAATTATCACGGATTTGGCTGTTAAAGGTTGTGCAAAATCCTGTGAACAAAATCTGTGCGACACTGAAGGAAATTATTGGAGTAAAAACATCCAGAACTGGTCTTGAATATGTCTGAGGCTAACGATTCCTTCCACACATTCGTACGTGCTACATCGTCCCCGAGCTGCAACGCGCCGCCCGGCGTAAGCTCAGTGTTCAGGGGACAGGTAAGCAAATTAACACCTTCAGGCTCAGAATATTGGATGCCCGTACCTTTTCAAACTTTGAAAGCCAAAACATCCCAGCGCGATGTCTGCAATTATCAAAACTGCTAACCTATCTTCCTGAACCACATCTTTCAGGATTTGATACACACAGAGAGCTTTTGTTAACTCCATCAAAGTGGCATTTATCTTAAAAAAAATCATGCCCATTAGGCTCTCTTACATTGAGGCCGACAAGGCAAATGCCTACGACATTGCAATATATATGGTCACCGATGATAGTGATCATAAAATTGCACATGCTCACACTCCATCCTCGGCTAATTCCATTAACGACTGTGTGCTCGAATATTTGCAACCAGTGGTAAGTCGAGCCTCAAGCTGAACGCATAAAATAGTTCTGCTGGTGGTGGTCAATTTTACTAGTTAAGATCGACTAGCTAGGATCAATGGCTGCAAACATCAGCGCTCAAAGATGCATTTACTCAAGTGATATTCGAAGGACTATCGCCGCCCGTGGCCGAATGGTTAAGTGTTCAAAATACTAACCGGGGGATCACGGGTTCGATACTCTCCGGAGTTTCGTAAGATGCGCATTGCTGATGATTCCCAATAAGGATGAAACAGCTGTATCTGTCACGAAGAGACTGGACCTTACCGTGGTGTGACGGTTTGCGCACCTCAGCGATCCATTGAGCTATACTGGAGAGTGTCCCGCGACACTCACAGAGTCTCTCATACCAGGTTGGTCAATGGTTAGAGGTCTGACGAACACAGTCTCCTGGCCCTCCAGGTTGGGGGTTGGAACATGTGGCGACTTGTTCCGTAGAAATGGTAATGCATTTGCATTTCCCGCCAAACACCGCTGCCTTGCGGTTAGGCTTTTGAGCCAAAGGCTTTGGTTGAGGACCCTAATCGTCCTCCTGTCTAGGGGTGGGCGTCCTGGCAGTATCCCAGCCCTCGTACAACCATGACATTCACAACTAACCATACAGCAGTGAAGAATCGGTGTTGAACACTGATGTCATGCTGTCGATGATGATGTCGCACTACACCTCAAATCGATCGCACTGCGATCTCTACACGGTGGGTCTCCTCGATAGAATGCTGCAGGTTCTGTCGCGAGGCAGAGACAGTAAACAAGTGTCTGCCGGATAACACCCTGACCAAAGAAAAAAATGAGGTTCTATATAGCTATCAGTATGAAACGCAACCTACGGTTGCCTGCTTGAAAAATAGAACGTGGTAACCAGCTAACCTCCTATCATATATCCAGGTTCAAGACCAGTGTGTTGGATTGAACTAAAATCTACAGAACACGTTGATGCTACGATGCTATCAAACTTAGCAGTGGTTGGAATTCTATGAGGACCATTGGTTTATCCACACCGATTGCTCAGATACACTTTTTAACGCGCCTGACTCTGGCGGTCTTTGGTGCCAGGCCATCCGAAATGCAAGGACAGAGTGTATAAACTACTGGTAAAAATGGCTGCTATTAGGGCAGCCTCTTTAAATGCTGTTTTGCCCAATCCGTCCAGGTTTGGTTTAAAAATGCATTCAAGGTATCGTGCTTCATAATGTTCACAATGAACTGATACTGGTCCATGAGAAAAAGCCTACAAGGTATGCAGAACCCGTTGCCACTCTGTTCACAGTCCCCAATCAATCGTTACTGCCGTAGGTCATGGGCTGCTGGACGTGAGTGGAAGAGAATTACTGAAACTGGCTGCGCTGCCAAAACAATACAAAGATCCTGTTGAGGATGACGTTTTCAAAGGTGGTCATCCGTCGATCTTTGAACTCCTTCGTAAACTCTGTCGTCTGAGGTGGACACTGAAACTCTAGTCAGTGGCAAAGATGCCTCGGTGATGTTCCTGTAGCCAGGAACAATGAAACCAAAGTAGTTTAAAAGCACCTTGAAATCAACCTGATGCCGAAACCAGACATTTTGCTAACTTTATTCCTACGCCGCAGAGGACTGTGGAAAGATTCTAAAACCAGTCCGAACTACCACACTACACTTCTGGAGCTTAGGTTGTATTGATCATATATTTACACGTCACCATATTTGGGACAACTTTGTAGGCAACTTTGTAGCAACCAAACACAGCGAGGTTCTGAGATTTTTGAGAAGCATTCCAAACAGTTTTGCCACCAAATCATCCTGGTATGTTGGGGAAGCCCACCAACTAGGAACGAAATCCCGTGTCCGCCTAAGTGCTGAAAAGGTTACTGTATTCGACTTGGGAACTGACGTATGGCTGCTTATTTTGCGGTTTATTCGACAACGTAACGTCCCATTTGATTAACTATGTATTCAAGTCCGCTCTGCTATATGAACCAGAGATCTATACAGCGCTGCTCAGTTTCCCCAGTTGAATAAAGGTAGAACTGAGTCGAGGACGTAGCGCGACCATATCGGTAGGTACGCATCAGTTGTTGGGATGGAATCCAATGCAAATGATAAGTTTCGCAGTGTAAACCTAGTTGTGCGAGCCAGACCGATCTATGTCAATTGTAAACAAGTCCAGGATCATTAGTTCTGTCGACTGGTCAGGATAGAGAAGAGATCAGTCGCCGGTATCACAACACTAGAAGATAATCAGTGCCCCTATAGAGGTTCGGAAATCAACCTTTCTATGGGTCGTCGTGCATACCCAGTGGTCGCCTAGTCTGTACCCTAGATTTGCATGTTAAATTGGCCCCTTTCGGTTGGTAGTACTCAGAGACGCGCGGTATTCGATCGCTGCAGTCTTCGGTGATGGAGTGATACAGTATTCAGTGAATATTTCAGACCTTTCTAGACTGTTCCTGGTCTCCCCAAGTTCATTCAACAACCACATGTTCGTTGACTTGGGCACGTACCCAGCGCACCTGAGTGCATCGCTATCTGTTGACTTGATTAGAATGACGCTACCGGATGGGCTTGACAGTCCGGATGTCGTTGATGAGGACAGGTGTTATCCAAGCTGTGTTTTCTTCCGCATCCCTACTTTCGTCGTAGTATACAGAGTCCACAT